TTTCTATACGAAAAAATCCATCCTCAGGGGTCCTGAGGAGAATTTTTTCTATACGAAAAAATCCATCCTCAGGGGTCCTGAGGAGAATTTTTTCTATACGAAAAAATCCATCCTCAGGGGTCCTGAGGAGAATTTTTTCTATACGAAAAAATCCATCCTCAGGGGTCCTGAGGAGAATTTTTTCTATACGAAAAAATCCATCCTCAGGGGTCCTGAGGAGAATTTTTTCTATACGAAAAAATCCATCCTCAGGGGTCCTGAGGAGAATTTTTCTATACGAAAAAATCCATCCTCAGGGGTCCTGAGGAGAATTTTTTCTATACGAAAAAATCCATCCTCAGGGGTCCTGAGGAGAATTTTTTCTATACGAAAAAATCCATCCTCAGGGGTCCTGAGGAGAATTTTTTCTATACGAAAAAATCCATCCTCAGGGGTCCTGAGGAGAATTTTTTCTATACGAAAAAGTCCATCCTCAGGGGTCCTGAGGAGAATTTTTTCTATACGAAAAAGTCCATCCTCAGGGGTCCTGAGGAGAATTTTTTCTATACGAAAAAATCCATCCTCAGGGGTCCTGAGGAGAATTTTTTCTATACGAAAAAATCCATCCTCAGTGGTCCTGAGGAGAATTTTTTCTATACGAAAAAATCCATCCTCAGGGGTCCTGAGGAGAATTTTTTCTATACGAAAAAATCCATCCTCAGGGGTCCTGAGGAGAATTTTTTCTATACGAAAAAATCCATCCTCAGGGGTCCTGAGGAGAATTTTTTCTATACGAAAAAATCCATCCTCATGGGTCCTGAGGAGAATTTTTTCTGTACGAAAAAATCCATCCTCATGGGTCCTGAGGAGAATTTTTTCTGTACGAAAAAATACTGAGGAGAATTTTTTCTATGCAGAAAAGCCCCGTCCTCAGGAGATCTGCGGAGATTTTTTTCTATACGAAAAAATCTTGAGGTCCTGAGGAGAATTTTTTCTATACAGAAAAAAACACCGTCCTCAGGAGACCTGAGGAGATTTTTTCTATACAGAAAAAACCCGTCCTCAGGGGACCTGACTTTTTCTATACGAAAATGTCTCCTAGTGGTCTTTTTTCATGGGACCTGATAAAAAAAAAACACACTTGCTCTGAGAATCATTGAAAAATATGTTTTAAATGGTCCAAGTTTGTGGCTCTGAAGATCCTTTGAAAATATATCTTAAACGATCAACGTTCAGGACTTATATGATCCGTAAAAAATATTCTCTGAACCGAATCAACTCAAACGGACAAGTGGTTTGCTGCACTGTATAAAAGAGTAGTGAAGTAGTGCTGGATATTATGAATGGTACGTGAATCAATCTTGAAAAGAAAGTTTTTTTTTTATATAAAAGTGGTTTTCGGAATGTGTACTAAATGTGCGAACTGTTTTAAATGACACTTTATTTAGTACAATTCCATTTTGTGATGGGGATTTGGTCTTGGAAATGTACTACAACTACATGAAAAGTACTAAACAGTAGTATTTTTTGGTACAATTTTGTATAGGGTGATAGTGCTTGGTGTCTGTGGTTAATATAAGTCCGAATGACCTGAATTTTGGTACATCCCACTGAAGTCAGTCTTGAAGAAAGTAAGTCAAATTTGGTGTAAATCGGTTCTGATATAGCTTCCATAAATATGTTTTATCCGATTTTAAAAGTTAAAAAAGAATCGGGTTAAAAGACCCTCACAAGCGTAATATGTATTCTAGAACAATAATCTTTGGTACCTGATATCAGATACAGCTCAGAAATACCTATGCCAAATTTTATCGAGAACGGCTAAGATTTGGATATAGCTCTCTTACATATCTTTAATCCGATTTCAGATTTTTTGTGCAAATAATGGCTAATATCAGCCCAAATGGAGTGAATTCCATTTGGTGGACCTCGGCTCCGATATATATTTTTTATACCTTCCACCGTAGTATGGAGGGTATATTAAGTTTGTCATTCCGTATGTAACACCTCGAAATATACATTTAAGACCCCACAATGTATATATACTCTTGATCAGCATAAAAAGCTATGTCGATTTTGCGATGTCCGTATGTCTGTGGAAATCACTCTAACTTCCGAACGAAGTGAAGTAAATCGATAAAATTTTACTGAAATGTATATAATGCCGGCAGGACTTTTGGTATTGAAAATGGGCCATGTCTACGTTTTGGTATAGCCCCAATGTAACGGTACCTCCCGATATTTGGTATTTTCATAATTTTAGCGACATTATTTACCGGAATTATTTCAAATTTCGTATTTGAAGTTCGTTATGGGAACTACAGTCTGTGGCAGAAAATTGTCTATGCAGGCCCAGGTCTTCGTACAGCAACACCCTATATTCGGTATTTTGATGATATTAGCGACTTTATTTACCGGAATTGTTTCAAATTTGGTATTTGAAGCTCGTAATGAATACTACAGCTTATGGCAGAAATTTTACCGTGTAGGTCCACTCTTCGTATAGCCCCATTTAATGCACCTTTCCATATTCGGTATTTTGATGATTTTAGCAACATTACTCACCGGAATTGTTTCAAATTTGGTATTTGAAGTTCGTAAAGGGCACTACAGTCTATGACAAAATATTGCGAATGCGGGTTCACGTCTTCGTTTAACCCCCCTATAACGGCACCTTCCTAAATTCGTTTCTTTATGATTTTAGCGGCATTATTCATAGGTATTATTTCAAATTTCGTAATAGCTACTACAATCTGTGACAGAAATTGTCTATGCAGGCCTAGTTCTTCGTATAGGCCCCATATATCAGTACCTCCTATATTCGGTATTTCGACGATTTTAGGTACAATACTTACCGAAATTTTTTGAGATATCGCATTTGAAATTCCTAATGGATACTACAGCCTATGACAGAAAATTGTCTACGCAGGTCCAGGTCTTCGTATAAGCCCCCCTGTAACGGTACCTTCCGATATTGGGTCAGAATAGAACCCCATTGTTGAAAATACATTCCTTTCATATTCTAAGTAAATTGGAATTTTTATAAAAAATAAGTTTTTAAAAATTGATTCTTGTTGGTTTTATGAAAAATATTATTTAAGGATTTCACATTTTTTGGATTTTTGGAAAAAAAAATTAATTAAAAATTCCTAATTTGTGGTTTATTAGAAAAAAATTTGTATTAAAACTTGTATTAGGAAAAAATATTTTTTAAAATAGAACAGTGTTGGCTTGTTTGTGCGGTATACCATAGTATTTTGTTGTTGCAAAATCATCAGGCTTAATCCCTTTATTGTTGGTTTCATTTTTTTTTTGTAAATGTTCACCCTTGTTGGTATTTCGAAAGAAAAATTCTTCAAAGAATTCACATTTTTTTGGATTTTGAAAAGAAAATATTTTAAATTAAAATTCCATGTTTGTTGTTCATAAAAAAATATTATTTCGAAATTTCACGCTCCAGATTCTTGAAAAAAAAATTTTTTCGGAAAAAAAGAATATATATTTTTCCCCATATTTAACTCCATTCTATGTATGTTGGGATTTTGGAAAAAAATATATTTAAAAAAAAATTGATCTTTGTTGGTATTAAGAGAAAAAAAGCACTTTTTTGGGATCTTGAAAAAATATTTAAAATAAATCTATATTTTTTGATTATCAAAAAAAATATTATTTGAAAACTCCTCCCTTTTGATCCTCGAACAAAAAATTTTTTGAAAATTTCTCACTCTTCGTCATTGAAAAAACATTTTTTCCATATTTAGCTCCATATTCTCTCACTCGTTTTCTAAGAGGCACAAGTCAAACCACATAATTTTTAAACTCCTTCCAAAAAAAAAAAAAAAAATCTCACTCTGCCCCCAAAAATTCCTAGAATCCAATATTGCACTTGTTTACATCGTTCGGTGTTGAAATCACTGGCCATGAAATCCATAACACATTGCAACAAGTGTGACAACACAGCTAACACACATCGCAATACCCATAACCATTAACACCTCACTGCCTCGATGGCTCTCCTCCTGTACCACCACAACACGTTCCCCACTTTAGAGCATCCGTAGAGCCCAGAGCCCTCTGTTTTAATTGTGGAGCCAAGGTCCTTAAGATTTGTTTGTTTTGATTTTCCAAAAACAAAAAAAAAAAAATGCAATTTATCAGAATTCTTCCAGGGGGTTATGTTGAGGACAGGTTCCAACTGTTGTTGCTGGCATCCAGAGAAACCCTAGCAAAGTTACAAAAATAAATTAAGTTTTCAAAACGAAATTGATAAACAACAACATATGGCATGAAATCGATATCAATTTTCATAAACAAAAATCTGCTATTACGGCCCTGCAAGGCTTCAAGGATAATCGTACCAAACAACCACAACATCATCATCATCATCATCATTGCCATAATTATGTTGGCAGATTGTAAAGGAGGTGATGTTTTGCTACGAACAAATTTTGCTGAAAAATATCCAAACGTTCCCACGCTTCGTTGCCAGGTTTGGTGCCTTACAAATTCCTGCGAACAAGGATCCTAAGGATAATAAGAAGAAGATGGAACAATAACAACAACATCTCGATGTATTGGGATTCTGGGGGATGGTTCAGACAACAACAACAACAAACAACGATGATGATGATGATAATGATTTAAATCCCTTGAGCAGAGTTCCAAGGCAGGATCCTTTGAAAGGACCTACAAATAAGAAGAAATAACGAAGTTTCTCACGCTCACAGGTTTGTCTGTCCGTCTGCCTTAAAAATCTAAATACCTGCTGTTGTTTGTTTGTCTCTACACACACACACACACACACACACATGTATGCACACAAGTGATCTGGAGCCCTTCAAGATTTATTTCTTAAAGGGAGTATCTGTGTGTGTGAGTGTGTGTGCGTGGATGCTGAACGTGAGAAATTTTGAAACTGAACACCTGCCTTTTTTCCGCTCTTGCGATTGGCTGAGACACTCTGAGAGCCAGCCAGCCGCGCATTCTTCCAAAGAGAGAGTATAAATAGCCGGGTAACCCCAGAGCATAGCATCATTCGCTCACAAGCATTCAAAGTAAAAACATCTTCAAATTTCAACATTTTTCGTTTTGGATTTAAAAACCCAGCAACACCACCATGAACGCCAACATGATGCAGCTCAGCAAGAACGCCAACAACTCGTACTACAACAACACCAACCAATCCTATACCATTTACAAATCCAAAGTTTCACCCTCACGCCGTTTGAAGAATATGCTGAAGCCCGTCTTGGGTCGCATTTTCAAATCCAAGGCCACCAAGCCGAAACGCAGCTCCTACATTGCCTCCGAGGAAAAGGAGTGCGAGTTCGACTGGCTCAACAATGACATGGACAACATGGCCAATGAACATTTGGAACATCGTCTCATGGAGGAGTTGCAGCACAGCGAGAGCGGTGAGGCCATTGTGGTCATCAATGAGGATGGTAGCCGCCAACTGCAGTTCGTTGACAAGGATAATCTCTATGTGCCGGTGCATTTTGCCCGCACCAATGCCGGTACCTTTTTCTGGACCTCGGTGCAAAAGCAAAACATTGAACCCTATCACATTGAGTGGAATTTCTTGGATCGTTGGGCCCAGGCCTAGGCGGCAGCAGCCAGCAATATCAAGTCTCCTGATTATCATCAATGGAATCTATTTGGAAAAATAGATTTTCTGGAATTGGAAATTTAACAGAAAACCACAACCATAGCAGCTTCATTAGCTTTTCACCTCGAAAAGGATTTCGAAAGAGGGGTATTCCATTACAGACACTGTTTGGTCACATCGACTTTGTCTAGGAATCCACAAGGATCCTGAAAAGCTTTCCAATGCAAGCAGCCACAACAAACGAAGCAGATGGAAGAAAAGAGAAGAAAAAATCAGTCTTTATTTTTTAATTGAAAAAAATTAAAAAAAAGAAGAAGACATTAAATCTTTAATTTTTTAATTAAAAAAATTTAAATGATTTGGAAAAAGTTAAAAGAAAATTATATTTTTTTGTCATTAAAAAAAAATTGTAAATTTTCTAAAATTAACAAAAAAATAACTATAAACTGTTTTTACGTAATTTTTTGCATTGAAAAAATATTGTTAAAAACATTTCAATATTTTCTACAAAAAAAAAAAAATAATAATAATAATAATAATAATAATAAATAAATCAAAAAACTAAATAAATATATACAAATTAAACAAAATCTAAAAATATTTTTTTACTCATTTTGGGAAGGGGTTAAAAATATAACAAATTTTGTTTTTGCGTAATTTTTTGCATTGACAAAAATATTGTTAAAAACAGTTTAATATTATCTACAAAAAAAAAAAAAAAAAGAAAATAATAATAATAAATAAATAAAAATTTAAAAAAAATCTAAAAATATTTTTGGTACTCATTTTGGGAAGGGATCAAAAGTTTTTCAATGGGAAGTAGTTGCAAGAGATGACAAGCAGCATAAAGTCTTTATTTTTAAATTAAAAAAAAATTATGATTTGGAAAAAAAAATTAAAAAGAAAATTATATTTTTTGTTATTAAAAATTTTTTCAGAAATTATCGAAAAAATACAAAAACAATATACCCTCCACAATTTGCAACGAATTTGGCAATTTCAAAAAAAAAAAAAATATAAGTTTAAAATTCTGTTAAATCCTTAAAAATACCGAATGTAGCCTATAGCCTTAGGGTCTATACGACGACGTGGACCTGCATAGGCAACTTTTGTCACAAGCTATTACAATATTCAAATGCGAAACTTAAAAAAAAATCTGTTTATAATCATCAAATTACCAAATATAGGGAGGTACCTTGGGGGTTATAAAACGTGGACCTGACAGACAATTTTCTGTCTTAAGCTGTAGTTCCCATTACCAACTCTAAATACGTAATTTGCAACCACTCCGGTGAATAAAGTCGCCAAAATCATCAAAATACCGAAAATAGGGAGGTACCGTTATATGGTGGCTATACGAAGATATCGACCTGCACAGACAATTTTCTGTCATAAGCTGTGGTATCCATTTCGAACTTCAAATACCAAATTTGAAACAATTCCGGTGAATACTACCGCTTAAATCATCAAAATACCGAATATCGGAAGGTTCCGTTATATGGGGGCTATCTGAAGACGTGAACCCTCAGAGACAATTTTCTGCCTTAGGCTTGACTATACATTAAGAACTTCAAATACCAAATATGAAACAATTCTGGTGAATAAATTCGCTAAAATCATCAAAATACCGAATATCGGGGGGAACTGTTATATGGGGGCTATACGAAGATGTGGACCTACATTTTCTGACTTATGCTGTAGTATCCATTTCAAACTTCGAGTACCAAAGTTGAAACAATTCCGGGAAATAATTTCGCTAAAATCATCAAAATACCGAATATCGGGGGGTACCGTTATATGGGGGCTATACGAAGACGTGGAGCTGCACACACAATTTTTTGTCTTGGGCTGTAGTATCCATTGGGAAAATCAAATACCAAATTTGAAACTATTCCGGTGAATAATGTCGCTAAAATCATCAAAATACCGATTATCGGGAGGTACCGTTATATGGGGGCTTTACGAAGAGGTGGACCTGCATAGACAATTTTCTGTTATAGGCTGTGGTATCCATTTCGAACTTCAAATACCAAATTTGAAACAATTCCGGTGAATAGTGTCGCTTAAATCACCAAAATACCGAATATCGGGGGGGTACCATTATATGGGGGCTATACCAAAACGTGGACCTACATAGCTTATTTTCAATACCAAAAGTCCTGCAGACATAATATACATTTGAGTACAATTTTATCAACCTTCACTTCGTTGTGAAGCTAGAGTGATTTCCACAGATGGAAAGACAACCAGACAGAGAGAAGGACGGACATCGCTAAATTGACATGGAATTTTAGGCTGATCAAGGCTCTGACAGTTCTTAAAAATATTTTTTTTTTTTTAAATCCATATTTGCAGCTCTGAAGTCATTTGAAAAATTAATTAAAAAATCCTTCTTTGATCTTCTTAAAAAAATAAAATTATTATAAAACCACGTTTGATGCTCGGATCGTCTTCAAAAAATTAATTTTTAAAATCCACTTCAAATTCTCGAATCTAAAAAAAATCTTTTTTTATAACCTCCACCATAATATGGAGGATATATTAAGATTTATTGTCATTCCGTTTGTAACACCTCGAAATATACATTTTAGACCTCACAAAGTCTATATAAATTCTTGATCAGCATAAAATTCTATGTCGATTTAGCCATGTCCGTCCGTCTGTGGAAATCAATCTAGCTTCCGAACGAAACGACGTAAGTTGATAAAAATTTACTCAACTGCGAATTATGTGTGCAGGACTTTTGGTATTGAAAATGGGCCATGTAGCTCCCATATAACGGTACACCCCGATATTCGGTATTTTGATGATTTTAGTGACGTTAAAAACAGCGTTTTTGAAGTTTCGCATTTGAATACTGCAATAGCTTGTGACTATGCAGGTCCACGTCGTCGTATAGACCCTAATATACGGCTACATTCGGTAGTTTTAAGAATTTAACAGATTTAATTTTTATTTATTTAACGGATTTTATTTTTTTGAAAATAGCCAAATTTGTACCAAATGGTGGAGGGTATTCAAAGTTCGGCCCGGCCAAACTTACAGCTTTTTTACATGTTTTTTTTTTGTTTTGTTTTTTTTTTTTTTGACATTCTCAGTAATTTTTTGGAAATTCTCGAAGTTATTTAAATTCCTTCTCTTAAAATCATCGTTTGAAGCTCCAATAGTGCTTTGATAAAAATTCTTTAAAAGTCCCCAATGGTTCTTTAGTGATCAAAAAAGTCATTTCAAAATTACTTAAAAAATCAACGAGTTTCGCCATTTCAGAGATCTTCCAAAATTGTATTTTAAAAATCTGAGTTTTTCGTCCTTTCACAGATCTCCCAAAGTTATTAAAAAACCAAGTTTATCGACCTTTCAGAATTCTCTCAAAATTGATTTAAAAATCCACATTCAACGTCCCCTTAGGAAACTCAAAAATTATTTTAAAAATCCATGTTTATAGACCTCTTAGAGATTTCCCGAAAAAGTTTTAAAAATCCACGCTTAATGTCTTTTCTGAGAACCTTAAATTCATTTTAAGAATCCGTGCTTATCGCCCTTCCAGAGATCTCGTAAAATTGTTTTAAAAATCCACGCTTAACTTCTTTTGTGAGACCCTTAAATTTTATTTTAAAAATATGTGCTTATCACCCTTTCAGAGATCTCGTAAAATTGTTTTCAAAATCCACTCATATCGAAATTTCAGATATCTCAACAGATGATGTAAAAAATCCAAGTTTTTCGCCCTTTTTGAGTTCTTCTAAAATTATTTTAAGAATCTCCGTTTAACGTATTTTATATACCCCAAAAATTATTTTAAAAATCCGTGCTTATCGCCCTTTCAGAGATCTCGTAAAATTGTTTTCAAAATCCACTTTTATCGCCATTTCAGATATCTCAAAAGGTGATTTAAAAAATCCAAGTTTTTCACTAGTTTTTAATTTTCTTCTAAAGAATCCCCATTTAACGTATTTTAGATACCCCAAAAATTATTTTAAAAATCCATGTTTATCGCCCTTCCAGAGATTTCAAAAATCCACATTTAACTTCATTTCAAAGACCACACAAAATATTTAAAAAATCCATGAGATCTCAAAAAAATGTTCTGAAATCCACGTTTATCACCCTTCCGGATGTCTCAAAAATTATTTAAAATTTCGCATTGATTGTACCTTCAGACGACTCTAAAAACTATTTTATACGTCCACATTTGATGTCCTTCCAGGGTCCCTTAAAAATTTATTTCATGTGGCCTCCTAAAATTATGTACAAATCCACCTTTTTATTCATCTATAGAATCCAAAAATAATTAAATTTATTATTTAATTTATTTATATATTTTTTTCTATGCCGTCAAACACTCCTGTAATGTAATACACCCTTTTAAAAAAAACGAAAGCGAAAAATCATTGAAATTGTTTTTGCCAAATTTTCTTCAGCTCATCGTGTCTCGTTGTAGACAGCTACTTAAGGGCGTCAAAATGATTTTTCCTGATTTCTTGTGAAAAAAGCAAGGCTCTGGCGTTAAAAGGGATTAATTTTTGCCAGGTCGTTCATTCATGACAAGTTATATTTAGTATTTGCGGATTTTTAAGTAGACGAAGTCATTGGAAAAAATATCAAATAAATCCATGGTGTCAGCTCTGGCGTCAAAAGGGATTAATTTTTGCCAGGTCCGTTCATTGATGACGAGTTATATTTAGTATTTGTGGATTTTTAAGTAGACGGAGTCATTGGAAAAAATATCAATAAAATTCTTGGGGTACTCAAGATTTTTGTGATTTTTTTCAGTTTTAAAAAAAATTAAAAAATATCTAAGGGCCAAAAGAGCCATTAACGTGGATTTTAAGAAAAAAAAAAATTGTAGGACTCTGAGACCGATAAACATAAATTTTAAATATTTGAAAGACTTTCAGTCCAACAAACGTAGATTCGCTAGGAATATTGATGAAGGATAAACATTAAAAGTATATATTTTATGAGGGACCCTTACCAAATTAATGTGGATTTTGAATGAAATTTTCTTAAAAGGCCCGAAAAAACCAATAAGGAAAGGTCAAAAGTCGGGCGGAGTCCACACCACTATGCATATTTAGTAGAGGTCCCGTAACAAAATAATTTATTTGAAGTAGATCATATCACTTATCAACATTTGGCTTTAGAGCA